CCCCCCCCCCTCCAGAAAGTTTGGTTAAAAATGATAATGATGATGATGATTTTTTAAAAATATTATGTTACTTTGTTTTGTATTTAATTTTTATATTCACAACAAAGCAAGTTTTGTTTTTGATAGCCCCAGAAATTGAAAAGACAAGGTTGTGGCTGGTGAGGGTCTATTTGTTTCAAGCATGAAGATTTGAAAGAAGAAGAAAAAAACTAGGACTAGTGTCATGTTGACTGGACGGGAAGTTCATTGACTCCTGTAGGGTTGATAACCCTAACAACCTGCTTGGTTTCGGCTGCATGCGAGCTTTTTTGTTTTGTTTTATTTTGTTTTGTAGTGATTTTTACCTGTGCGCTCAGATGAACGCATTATTATCTGGGATAATCGGGCACGTTCCGGAGTATAGTCTACTTTCGCTCTTAATAGCGCGTCCGTGCCATGTACTGTTTTCTGGACGGACTGATGTTATCATTTTTGCCTTTACTTTGATCATGACGTGAGGGCTTTGCCAGTCGCCCGCGACTAAATGTCGCGTCGCACATGAGAAGACATTTTTGTCGCTCGCGACTGAAAATTTTGACACAATGTGGTCGTGCATAAGGATACACACCTCGCGACTAATCACTAGCTACTGTTGCGTATGACTGAATGTCGCATGGCGCATAAGGAGACATAGGCTTACTGTCAGTAGAATTCACTGTGTGATATGTGTAAACTGGCTGTCTGTATATGATGAACCATTTGATGGGCTAAACAGTGTGAAATAGACATTTACTGAGACTGTCAATATACAACATATGTCTTCTGTGATATTCTGTGTATGCTATGTTTTTACTATGGCAGTGAGTTTGATAATAAACATTTATTGGGATAATCAGTATATCATGGGATTATGTTGCTATATTACATTACGTTTTTTATGAGATTGTTGGGGGGGGGGGTGTCAAGTATATATAGACTGTCTGAACTGCAGCTGGCAGGGTTGCACTTTTAAGGATGGAATAAGTACTCATAAACTGTTGCCCTCACATGTGTACGGGTGATGTCTATTTTGACGTATCTTGTC